TCTGTCAGGGATGTACTTGGTCCTGCCATGAGGTCAGGGGACTGGACTCGATGACCTTTCAAGGTCCCTTCCAGCTGTATGAGATAGGTATATATCTCCATATACTAGACTGTATTATTAACTAAAGTCTATGTGATTGAAGTTTTGATTTTCCTCTAATTGCAGTTGCTGTTTGTTTTTGTTTAAAAAAAAAAAAAACCTAAAAAGATACTACCTTATAATGACACAGAAACCGAAGGTAATGTTCTTCCAACTCACGCTTTCAAACATGGCTGAGGAACCTTATTAGGGGGAGGGCACACACAAGTAGGGTTGCCAGATGGTTTCAGCAAAAATACTAGACCCTCTGAAAAAAACAACAAACAAAAAGCGCCAGGAAATTTTTTGCCGAGGAAAAAAAACAAACCAAACAAACGAAAAAAACCCCACCAGGAACATTTTTGGAGCAAAATCCAGTTGCGACCCCTTTAAATAGAGAGCCAGTGTCCCCACCCCAGCTCCATTTCTGTTGGGTGTCAAGTCAGGAAAAGCAGAAAATACTGGACATTTTGTATGTCTGGTATTTTCTAAATTTATTTACCGGACAAAAGGTGCAAATACCGGGCTGTCTGGTTCAATAACGGACACCTGGCAACCTTACACACAAGTGTGAAGAAAAAAAATCCCCAAACCCCACCACCCTCATTGTAGAGGGAACATTAGTACAGTCCTTTTGATCCAATTGTATGTCATCCCCTCCCCCTGTACCACTTAACAGAAGGGACATGTTGTGGGGGGCGTGCTGCATTCCCACACTTCCTGGCTAGCGGATGGCACTTAGGGGCTACAACCTTCTGGCTGACCTTAGAGCAGTGATTCTTAAATGTTTTGTATTGGTGACTCCTTTCACACAGCAAGCCTCTGAATGCAACACCCCCTCCCCCCGCTTTCTAAATTAAAAATGGGGGGGGAGGGTGAGTCGGTTTAAATTGTAATTTGAATTTATTCAACTGGGACTGTCAGCCCTGTGCCTGACAATGGCTCTCCGTGATCCTCGGGCAATAACCTCGCCCCTTCCCCTAATCTGAGAACCTCTGCTTTAGAGCAATTTCTATGCTACCCTAAAGTGGACCAGGCTCAGCACAGAACACAGTAAGTTCAAGGAGGCACAGTCTGAGTGAGGCAGAGGCTCTAGGCCAAGGAATGCAGTTAGGTGATCCTAGTTTAACAAAAACAAGGCTGAGAAATGTGTCAATTTCAAATGACGGCTGCTTCGAGCAGCTCAGAACTAAAGGTGCCAGTGTAGACGTAGCCTGGATGTTTTCAGAGAACTATCCACAATGACTCCAAGATCTCTCTCTAGGGCCAGACTCATGCAAGCTGAGGGCCGCATCCAGTCCCCGATATTAGGTTCCTCACCCCTGCTTTAAAAACAAAAGCCTCTTACTCTTAAAAATCGATCCCCATAGCACGGGTTGGACCAGCTTCATGCAGGTCCTCCCTGGATGGAAAATTACAGCAAATTGTATGAACAGAAAGAAACAGAAGCTCCAATAGCAGCTGGAGGCGGGGTGGGGCCGGCCCCCCAGAG